GGCTTTTGTACAAAGTATTAGATAAATTTCAGGAAGTGTGTTCAATAATTTTTCCCTGTGCCATTCCACATTATTTCTGGACATGTATGGTCTGATTTCTTTGTATGTATGGATCACTTGGGTTGTTACCGACATCTGGTGAAAATTTCATGTCATTAGCACCTCTAGTAATATATTTACTGAGAAAAATGCTGACGTGTTCAATACTTATTTTACCTGCTGTATGTTGTGACTTGGCATTACATAAATAAACTAGAGGTGCAATGATGCAGAAAATTCACAGTTTGGTTCGGTTCAATGCTTTAGTTTCACGGTTCGATATTTTTTCGATACAAAAAGGAGGTATTCCCATGCACTTTCTAACTTGTAGTTTGTTGAAATTAATTACAAACATTTGTTTAACCTCGAAAGTATTTAATTAAATGTTGCTGAAACAACAAGTTTCTCAGTGGATCTGCACTCGACAATGCAGCCTAGAGTGGTCGAACACAGATCCACTGATTCTTCAACACAGAGCATCTTCAGAAGACAAGCTGATAAAACAAATCAAAAAAATCTGTATTGTTTGATACAAGTGTGTATTGAACCTAAAGCTCTGTATTGAATGGTTCGATACAGATACATGTATTGTTGCACCCCTAAAATAAACTGATTTGAACTGAATTATTCTAGTCACAATCACAAAGGTAGTGATGGAAACAGAAAAACAACACTTGAATAGTTATAAGTTTCTCAGCGCTTTTGCAATGACACCTTTAATAAAACTAAAATATGCAGCAATGGAAATGAGTGTAAACAAATTCAGAAATGTTGCTCTGCTGTCTCCAAGTGATGAAAACACAACTTTGTATTAATGGTAAATGCTTATTTAATTCTAATTCTATAAATTCAAAGTGTCTTAGAATTAAAGAAACACAAAAAAATCAGTCAAAGTGGGAGTTTTTCAGTGCTTGTAAGGTTTTGTTTGCTAATATGTTTTTTTTTCTTTTTACAACAGAATTGTTAATCATTATCAAAGTTCATACTATGGGTACAAAATTTACAAAACACACAATGAAAAGGAAAATGTAGCGAGTAAATTAAACCATAAAATTCTAAGAGGTGAACAAAGTTAAGTATCTACAGTATGTTGAATCATCTTAGATTGACTGGAGTATTTGACATGTAAATGAGTGTACTTGACACATGAAGCATTTTATAATCATTGTTGTGGAAATATTTGTTAAAAGACAGAAACACGTGAATAAAATTTATAATCATCCATGAGCCAATCAAAATGCTCAGTCTTCTCTAAGCTTGAGTGAGGCACATGGCAATCAGATACTTTAATTGCACTACTGTACAGTAAGTTATGCAATCCAAACTGAAGCCCAGCCCATTTCACCCCCCACCTCCCAAAATGTTCTGGTGATAAGTCATGTTTGTTCAATATTGCAGAGAAATCCATAACAGCAGGACTGTGAGGGATCTTTAGAGTGACTATGAGAGGTTATTCTGAGGATTATTTCAGCTCACGCAGGATGTTTAACTGGGGTGATGAGTGGCACATGTCTTTTGCTGGATGTGGGTTCAGGAGCATCTATTATGTTGGAGCACTGAGCTGTATCCTGGAGCGGGTCCCACGGCTGGTCTGTGGTGCTTCTACGTTTGGTGGAGCTTCTTCTGGGTGTCTCGTTGCAGCAGCTCTGGCTGTGGGGATTCCCATTGGTGAGTAACCTTTCTTCATTGCAAATTATGTCTATTGTTCTCCCACTGCATATTATTTTACATAAATTCAATCTTGTACTTTACCCTCTTGAAACTGACCCTGGTCCTTATCTGTGCAAATAAACACATTAGTTCTGCTTTTTATTGGACCTCAGTTGGCCATTCAGAAAGTCAGAGATATTTATCTACAAACAGATGCTGATTCATACGTTGAGTAAACATCAAACATTACCGGGTCATTGACACATGCTGAGTTCATGTAACAGTGAGAGCAAACTCCATAGTTCACATCATACCCAAAAACTAAAAATCAAAGCAAAACATCTAAAGATACAGACACTCTCGGCCCAAAAAGAGGGAAAATGATGCAAGCTTTCTGAATTTATTTAGTATATTTTAACCAAAGGTGGGCACAGCTAATCAAATAGGTACGCTAAACAGCTAAAAAATAATAATAATAGCGGAAGCTAACTCTAACCACTAACCACTAAGTCAAATGTCACTCAGCCTGTTGAAGTTTTCTATTGTTTTAATTTGAAGGTGAGTGGGATCATTTGTGGCAAATCAGCCAATCCAGACCGGAGTTAGAGCTCTGTCTAATTTGTTAAACCTTTTCAGATTAAAAGTCCTTCTTTGATCAAGTTTGTATGTTCATAATACCATTAGAAGTCTGTCAAACAACAATTAGCAAATACTTATATATATATACATACATATATATGGCAATATGTTCCTCCAGGAAATGTTAGCTTCATTATACAGCACTTACACTTCACTGGGCTCCATGTTTTCCAATNGCTCTTAGTTTGAAGTTTAGCTGCTAAAGATGCTACATGCTACAAACGCGCTGCCAGTACTGCATGTAAGAGGGGATGATTTTTATTCAATTTGGCTTTTGTATTAAAACATTATTAAATGTTAACTTATTTATTTTTGATGCTCTTAGTTTGAAGTTTAGCTGCTAAAGATGCTACATGCTACAAACGCGCTGCCAGTACTGCATGTAAGAGGGGATGATTTTTATTCAATTTGGGATAAATAGCAGAAAAATATGAGTTTTACACTTGTAGATTTTTAACAGACTTAAAATTAGCAGAACCTAATTTAGTGGAAGCCAATTGGTCTGTTAGCGGTTTCCAAAGTTAGCAAAATATTTAATCTGCAAATCTGCAACGAGAAGCTGGTTCCGTTATTAGTGTATTAGCAGTTTAGTGGAACTTTCCCCACCACTGATTTTAACAGAGTAAAATAGGAGGAAAAAGTCACTGCAGCTGTACTTACACTTACATGTTGTCATTTGCTCTTCAGAAAAGCTGTGTTTTATGATTTTGATCACGGCTAAAGAGGCCAGGAAACACATCCTTGGAGTTTTCCACCCGCGCTTCAGTCTGCTGAGGGTGGTGCAGCGCTCTCTACTGGACATGCTCCCTGAAGATGCCCACCTTCGGGCCACAGGAAGGCTCTGCGTGTCCCTCACCCAGCTGTCGAATGGGAGAAATGTTTTGGTGTCAGAGTTCGCTTCCAGAGATGAACTTGTTCAGGTTGAACAGACTGCTGATCTCACCACCTCTGATCTGAAGTGAACCAAATGTCAAGAGGTGGTGTTTGTTTTGCAGGTCCTCACATGCAGCTGCTTTTTCCCAATCTACTGTGGTTTCATCCCGCCTTCATACCGTGGAGTGGTGATCATCACAGACCAAGTTAAACCCTATAATTTCATCACTTTTGAACCTGAAATCATTCATACTTGTCTGTTTCCCCTCAGCTCTACATGGACGGGGCCCTGAGCAACAACATGCCTCTGTTCGAGCACAGGAACACCATCACTCTGGCCCCGTTCTCAGGCGAGAGTGACATCTGCCCCACTGAGGGAACCTTCAACTTCTTCGAGGCCCACTACAGCAACGTAAGCATTCAGGTCAACACTGGAAACGTCCATCGTGTCTGTACGTCTTTCCTACCGCCCAGACTGGAGGTGAGTCTCTGTCCAGAAGGATTGGGTTTCAGATTGGTAGAGTTTGAATTTGATAAACTGAACTGAATTTGGCCCTCTTGTTATTAGGAGTTATGACGAGGTGGTTTCGTGCTTCCTCACCCATAAACTCCCTTATTTTGAACATGATGTTCAATAATCTGAGGTTAGACAGGTTCATGGATCTATGTTATCCTTGGGATGTTCTGCTTGAAATTTCTTTTGTAAAATAAGACAGGTTTTTACCATCTCCCCTTTTTTCTCCCCGCAACAAAAACCAATTCTTATTTTCTATGTGTTTTATACAGAAGCTGGCTGAAATCTGCCACAACGGTTACATGGATGCTCTGCGCTTCCTGAAAAAACAAGGTGAGCACCCCCACCTCTGTCTTCCTGACCATGAAGCCTTCTTGCTATAAATCCATGAAACGTTTCACTTTACTCTCTGCAGTATCAGCCCAAACATATCATTAGTCGAGTATTTATGAATTTAGATCTACTTGGCGCTGAGTGTAGTCCTTGCAGTCTAGTGTTGAGCGACAAGTTTCCTTGTTGCGAGCCTGCAAAGATGGAAGATTGGAAGAAGACGAAGATGTTGCTGAATAACGGAGGAAAACGTAAAGAACATCAGTGGCTGGACCAGAGACTCATGGAGAACCTCCCAATGGGTATTAGGAAAGGTAAAGATGAAAAGACGCTCTGGCTTGGTCAAAAATTTGATCTAATATTTTGTTTTTCAACCCAAAATATGGATATAACGTCAGTTATAGACGTAACATTAGTCCTGTGGTTGTGTGTTTGTGCGTTAGTGTTGTGTGAGGTCTGCAGGGAGAGTTACAATGCCGGCAGCTGGTGGTCATCGCTCACTAACATCCTTCCTGTGAAGATGCAGACTCTCCTCCTGCTGCCCTTCAACATTAGCCTACATCTCTTTAAAAGGTAAAGTTGATTTGAGTTATCAGAACGGAAATGAACGATGCCAATGTAGGTGTGTGTGTGTGTGTGTGTGGGGGGGGGGGGGTGGGGGGTTTACATCAAAGGTCAGCTCTGTACCACTTTTTGTTTTTAATAAGGATGGACAGGTTGACAGATGATGTCAGGCCGGAGATTCATAAATTGATGTTTGCAGACAACATCCGTAGTGAGAGCAGGGAGCAGGGAGCAGGTGGAAGAGAGTCTTCTTTATGTTTTCTTTGACATTTTGTTTAGAAGGTGTCAGTGGTGACTTTTACCAAGAACATCAAAAGAGGGTGCTCCAAAGCAACGAATTCCAAAGTGATTAGATTCATAAGGAGGACTTTATCTGCTGTCAACCATCTAAAGCAGGAGTGTCAAACTCATTTTAACTGAGGGCCACATGAACAATTCATGGTTTCCCTCAAAGGGACAGTTGTATTGAACTTTGATGTTTTGTGTTTAACTTCAGCTAAACACAAAACTTTTTCCTCATCTTGTTGCTAAACCTGAGCACTGCTACAGTATGTAGGGTAAGGTCTACATCTTCTCATAACTTAAAATTAATGAGGAATCACGGATTCTTTTTCTAGGAAGATAAATACCTCTCTGTGGTAAAAGTGAGAAATACACACACACACACACACAGACCAATTCAGTAGTTCAAATTTTCTAAAATATTTATTTACAGAATTTAAACTACTTATGTACAAACTAGTGTGATTAATCAGGACTTTATGAGTTAAAACATCTACAACATCTTGTATGCGTCCATACTAGTTACAGCGGGTAAAATAAGTATTGAACACGTCAACATCTTTCTCGGTAAATATACTAGAGGTGCTAATGACATGAAATTTTCACCAGATGTCGGTAACAACCCAAGTGATCCATACATACAAAGAAATCAAACCATAAATGTCCAGAAATGAAGTTATTTGTAATAATGTGGAATGGCACAGGGAAAAAGTATTGAACACATGAAGAAAGGGAGGTGTAAAAAGGCATGGAAACCCAATACACCAGCTGAACTCTCTCAGTAATTAGAAAACAAGCCTGCCCCTTGTCAGTGCAAATTAATATCAGCTGGTTCAGACCCAAATGATGACCAGGTATCACACAAGAACCATCTGATGATGGGTAAAAGTAAAGAGCTCTCTCAAGACCTTCACAACCTTATTGTTGCAAAGCATAATGATGGCATCGGTTACAGAAGAATGTCTAAACTTCTGAAGGTTCCAGTGAGCACTGTTGGGGTCATAATTCAGAAGTGGAAAGAACATTATTTCACCATAAACCGACCACGACCAGGTGTTCCTCACAAGATTTCTGACAGAGGAGTGAHAAGAATTATCAGAAGAGTTGTCCAAGAGCCAAGGACCACTTGTGGAGAGCTTCAGAAAGACCTGGAATTAGCAGGTACGATTGTTTCAAAGAAAACAATAAGTAATGCACTGAACCACCATGGCCTGTATGCACGCTCACCACGCAAGACTCCACTGCTGAAGAAACAGCATGTTGAAGCTCCTTTAAAGTTTGCTGCACAACATTTAGACAAGCCTGTGTAATACTGGGAGAATATAGTCTGGTCAGATGAGACDAACATTGAACTGTTTGGATGCCAGAATATACATCATGTTTGGAGGTCAAATGGCACTGCACATCAGCCCAAAAACACCATACCAACAGTGAAGTTTGGAGGTGGGAACATCATGGTGTGGGGCTGTTTTTCAGCATATGGTACTGGCAAACTTCAAATAATTGAAGGAAGGATGAGTGGAAAAATGTACAGAGACATTCTTGATAAAAATCTGCTTCCATCTACCAGGATGATGAAGATGAAACGTGGCTGGACATTTCAGCAAGACAATGACCCCAAACACAAAGTCAAGGAAACTCTCAGTTGGTTTCAGAGAAAGAAACTAAAGCTGCTGGAATGGCCCAGCCAATCACCTGACCTGAATCCAACAGAAAARCTATGGAAAGAACTAAAGATCAGAGTTCATAGAAGAGGTCCACGAAACCTTCAAGATTTGAAGACTGTTTGTGGAAGAATGGGCCAAAATCACACCTGAGCCATGCATGCCACTAGTTTCTCCATACAGGAGGCGTCTTGAAGCTGTCATTGACAACAAAGGCTTTTGTACAAAGTATTAGATAAATTTCAGTAAGTGTGTTCAATACTTTTTCCCTGTGCCATTCCACATTATTACAAATAACTTCATTTCTGGACATTTATGGTTTGATTTCTTTGTATGTATGGATCACTTGGGTTGTTACCGACATCTGGTGAAAATTTCATGTCATTAGCACCTCTAGTAATATATTTACTGAGAAAAATGTTTACGTGTTCAATACTTATTTTACCTGCTGTTTGTAAATCTGACATCTCAGAAAGAACACTGAACAGTAAATTTTAGGCTTAGATCTTGATAAACCAGGTGTTTACAGGCACATTAAACTTATGGCAAGGTTTTAAGATTAAAAACAGTAAAGAAAAGGAGGATTAGTTTTAAGATTTAAGTATTATCAATTATCTTATCAAAGTTTGGAAACTGGAACAGCACCCTGCGTTTGCTCCACCCCGTCAGCCGAATCCCGGACACTTTACAAAACACAGCTTTTACCTTTTGGTGTTTTCGACCATCAAGTCAAGCATGTGGACAGTAGTCACTTGGTTCGTTAAGGCAGCCAGCTCTGGTCCCCATAAACCAGTAAAAAACTCCCACGTTTTGTTTACTGCGTCTCAAAAGATCTGTTTTAGTTCAGCAGAGAAAGACAAGATAATCTGTTCAGGTTTCTTCAAAATAAAAGCTTCTCATCAGAAGTTTCAAAAATAATGGAGCTTAAAGCTGTTATTGAATCAAGACTGAAGGTGTCTTGATTCTAGACAAAAAGAATTGCTCGTTTGCTCATGACACAAATCTCTTTGTCAGTGGCTGAATTTCCTGGAAAAGGAAAAACAGCACAGAGGGACAAAAAATTATGTTTTCTCGTCCTTTCCCTCTTTTGTTCTGACTAGGCATGTTCGTGTGTTAGTTCCTAAAGAGGGGAAGCTAAGAACGACCTTGATGACTTGGTTAGTGCAGCAGGAAGAGTGAAATGTTTAGACTGAAAGTTCCCTGCCAAGGGAGAAACATTCGCACCTGTTCAGAAAAACAAATTTTAACTTTGACAGACTTACACTGAATGAAAAAAATGAACTAAAGTTCTATGGAACACAATAGAATCATTTAAATTGAAATAAATCTAAAAATAATTGTCTGTGATTCAAACACAAATATTTTATCCAGGCATATTTCATTATAAAAACACAGTGAAGTCATAATCACATCGATCAACTTAAACTGAAAAAGAAAAAGAAAAGCACTTAATCACTTTCACTGTAAAATAATAGTTGATTAAACAAGAATTTGTGTAAAACAAATAAACATTTCAACAATTTTCTTCTTGAGTGTTTTTTCTTTTTCTTAAGTATAATGCAAAATATTAATTGTTACTCTTTTCATTAGGTAACTTTTTATTTATAAAATGATCATAACTTGTAGTTAAAAAGAAAGTATAAATCAAAAACATAAGGAACATTGTTATTTTGTTTATTTAAGAAAATAAAATGTCTCTTTTGAGAAAGGCTTTTTTTTAAACCAGAGTCAAAGTCAAGTGGAAATGTTTATTTCCCCTTTGATGAACCCTACAGCTGACAATAACTGAGCTCTACGTGGTATTTCCTGCATAGAAACATAGGTGCCTGACTGACTAAATGTGAAATAAATAACACAGAAATACTAGTAAAAGTGAAATAAAAATGGGGGGTTTATTCACTGTTGAGTTGTGGTGAGTAGCTTCCACCTTGAATTCTGAACTCTCCCACTTTCTGGAAGGGAATTCCTACTGGAGGGGCGTTCTTATTTAAAATGACAACCAGTGCATCTGGGCTGCAGCAAAGGTAGCCAGCCAATCACAGGTTAATGTCTATCAACTATTTTTGAACTCTCTGTACCTCCACCTAGCTGTGGGATGCCGTCATTTTGTGGGTAAAATAATTAACATGCATTATGGGAGATGTAGTTTACGGTCAATGCTGGCTTTAAAGCAGCATATGCTTGTTTTAAGACACTTACATCTTTGAAGCTCTTAGGGGCCACATTTGGCCCGTGGGCCTTTAGTTTGACACGTGATCTAAAGGAACAGGAAAGGAAGATGAGAAGTGAAGACAGGAATGTAGGCAGAGTGGAGTGAAGGAAAATGAGTGTTGGGGATGATTTGCAGAGGGACTGTGCACAAAGGATGTTAAAGATGGAGCTCCAGGGAGGAGGTACAGGAAGAGCCCAGAGGAGGAGACAGAAGAGGATGCTGGGATAGGGGGAGATCCCTAAGGCGAGCAGCCAAATAAAAAAAGATAATTTGCCTTATTTGTAACCCTAATCTTCTCAGGCTGGGAAGAGAACGGCAGACTCTCCGTGGTCACAGCAGGCCTCTGCAGACACACACAAAGACCTGCAGGCAGTGACACCAACAGGTTTGTCTTTACAGCAAACTGATCATCACTGCAACACTTCCAGGTGATAAGGTGCTCCCCTGTGCTTTGTATTTTATCTAGTCTCCAAACCACCATGGCAGCATGTCCCTCTGACTACATCCAAGAGAGATACTTAACTTCTCAACAATTAGTAACCCTGATATTTTCCATCAGTGCCTTCTTGGACTCCAACAGTTGTCTAAGGGTCTCCCTGTACCTGCATGTGGTGATGCCAAAAGCAGAAGTAAACACAGCGTAAAGGTCAAACAATTCGAAAATATAGCTTTTTCTAATTTGCAGACACAAACATCTATTTTTTGTTTGGTTACTTATCTTAGTTGGTTTTAAAGCAGCTAATTTTTCACCCTAAAATTGGGAAGCATTTACATTTAGATATAACTATGAATAAAAAGTGTAAATGTGATTTTTTTATTATTATTTATTAAAAGTTAGGAGTAACACAAAACTAAATATATAAAGTTTAAATAAAATTTTATGTGCCTTCTGTTTTAGGTCCTACTTTAATCCCAGAATATTATATTTTATTATTATTTATGTTATAGGAATCTCAAATTTCTGGACATGAAGTGCATGTTTATAATAAAGATGACTGGCTGTTTGTATGAATTTGTCCAACATTTTGGGATCATGTAGACTCATGTTTATCTCATTAAATATCACCACAGCTGAAATCTTGATAATATTCACAAGATTTTAATAACCCGCTAATTAAATAGGGAAAATTTTTACTTGCTTTCTGGTGGAAACAAAATTTAAACAGAAAAGTAAAAACAAAAGAAATGTAGCTTAAAGTTTTCTTTGTGTTAATTTGATAAAAAATTGTGTTGATAGCATCAAGAAATAATGGACGTTCTTTACAGCAAGATTGCTTTAAAGATAACAGTTTTAAAGCTTTGTTTTCAATTCAGTCCTACAAAAGTACATTTAAATAGGTTTCTAAATTGTAAAGGATTTTTTTTCCACACGGTGACACTAAAGTGCAACTCTAGGTAAGTGTTTATTTATGCTTTTCCCTCATTGTTCTTAGAAATAAATATAACATGAAAGTAGCCTTTTTCAGAGAAATTTTCATTGCATTTTAGACCAAGATATGTGATCTGTTATTGCTCAAATTACATGTTAGGGAAGACTCTCAGCTACTACCACGCTTAAGTTTTAGCTCATTATCTGTGAAACTGACCAAATTATAGCCCTTTTTGTGTTTGCTAAGGTCCCTTGGCAGTCATCTTGAATTGGGCTGGCCACAAAAGGTAATAATCAGCAAAGATACACCCAATGATTATTTGTTTTCTTTAAAATATGTTCAGCGGCTCATGAGATATTCTGATACCAGAAGGTTAGAGAAGGCATCTTCAGATTCCCTGACTGGCACAAATAACTTGAGAGGGGAAGGTGAAGAAACCACATCCTCACTTGATGACAAAAAAATCATCTTTTTATCATATTGAGAACAGATTTGTGCAGAGGACGCCTAAAGAAAGTTTAGAGCCAAAGTACCAAACAGCAGCATCTATGAATGCAGGTGATGTGATGCTTCAAATGTTGTGAAATTCTCTTGGTTCAGTGTACTTTACAGTAAGATTACTTCTTAGAAGTACAACTAAAGTCATCTTGTTATACAAACACATTATCTTAATGACATCATCCAAATTTCTGGATAATAGGCATGTAGGAGCCAAATATCTTGTTTTTATTGTTTATCACCACTAGGGGGTTGTATTTCTGTTTGTTTACTAATTGACAGGTGAGGGATGGGGCTATTTAAAGTTAAGTGTGATTCTGTTCAGGTGTTGCGACAAAGAGGGGCAAACAGTTTTCTATTGTGCTTAAGTCTGGAGCTCAAAGAAATCATGTGGATGCTTTCAAACTGGATGTAAAGAAGAATAAATAACTTGTAACATAATGTGAAAACAAAGATGGGCATGGTGAGCTTTAATGAGCGCATGTAAAAACTAAGTCTACCAGAACAGTCTGCAACCAGTAGATACATACTGTACTACATACAGAATTTAGCTGCTACAAGGCATAAAGCAGCCAAAACTGGTATAAAAATGAAAGCCATCATGTGACTCGATGAACTGGTCCCACAGTTCCCACTTGGACTTAAAGTGTATTCCCC